CACTGGCCTTCCGTCCTTATCTCCAAAGGATTTCTGTTGCTTCTCTAAAAGTAGTCGCCGTCGCTTACTAACTGGTGACATTTTCTCCACATCTATAAATTCCTCAGTTGATGATGGCATTTATCCTGCGCGGTTGGCGTTGACTTGAAAGTGATCCGCTGTCTGTTTTTTGCTGCTACTCTTCTGTATGGGTGTACATGATTCAGTCGAGAAACCTGATTCTGCCGAGGACGTGTCTTGCTCCGCGATGTGTCTCTCTAAGCTAAGGTTTGCCTCATATATACTCACACATTTTTTGATCACTTCTCGCTTCACTTCAGCGAGTGTTGCGGCTTTGTTTTCCTGTGTGAAGTTTAGTGATTCAAAATCCTTGTGGAGTGGGTGGAGGAAGTAATTCACCAGTGTTTCCATGCCTGGTTTGGATGAAAAGTAGTGTGCCATATTTTCTCAAAGCCGAACACGATATATCCGAATTTCACTAGTCAATTCGTCCTCACAAGTCATTTCGAAGTCGGGGTTTGGTCCGGATGTTTTGGCGACCTCTATTGTAATGTCATCGCCCAGAAGCAACCTACAGTCAAGGATGTGTTCCATAGAATCAGCTAAGCTGTCATCAGCAGACTGAATATTGATTTGACACTGCATTAGAGATCGTGTGCTTGCGATAAATTTTCTGCGCATCTCCCTTATCTGCCTCGTAGGTTAAAACTTTTCTCGACGTAATCTACCCGCTGCACCCGTCCATAAACCAAATTCATCTGTCAACTATTTTGGATCATCCAATATGTACTGAATTGCTGGACAGTTTAAATCATCGCGTTTCACCATCAGATACACACCACTTCAATGCACGCCACCATTTACTACAGCTCGTGTTAACTTGTCATATTTGAGAACTTCTTGCGCGCTGATAATTTTATTTGTACCCTTTGTGCTTTTGTTCATAAACGCCGATCTCTTCGGGCAAAAATTCAACATATCAGATACTTGTTTAGAGTCATAGGCTGGCTCATTCACATCGTACATGGCTTATTGTAGATTTACATCCAAAAGTGTCTCCAAGATACTAAGTTGTTTTTTAAGACTTGCCGTATGCAGACCGTCCTTGTGTAAATCGAAAACTTCTCTCATCTTATCAGTAGCTGTTACACATGATGTGCTTGACATCCTAAAACTACATTGGAACGAGTTTTCATTGCCTTTTGTACATTCGATGCGTTATCGGGTGTTGCGCTATGAATGATTGATTTCATATCTAAAATTTTACCATCCTTTTCAACTCTAAACATCGTATTTTTGATTGGTTGAAGAAATCATCAGCTCTCTAAGACTTCCTTTTGCCACATTGCTAAGTTGTCACCTATATGTGATCCCACAATCTCCTTCAGCCCCAGAAACACAGATACTCGTATTTGATCGGATGTACTTGGTTTGTTTGGAATCGTCCAAAATATTATAGAGCCCAAGTAGTTAACTGTCGTTCGCCCAGTGCCGTCACTATTCTCCGCCATACTAACATTCACTTCTACACTTCTACGCCCAATGCACAACTGTCACTATATGAAAGTTTGTACTGAGAAAACGATTGTATGTTATAGTAATAGAATCTTTGCCCCACCTAGTCCCTCACATGCTATAAAAATAAGTATCGGTTCTTAAAATTTCTTCAGATATCGGTACACTTGATTATTAATAAGTTCTTAAAAAAATTATAAAGATATCATACAAGGTTCTTAATATGTTCATAACCTGCCTTAATCCTTCTTTCTTAATTAAGAAATAGAATATTTCTTATAGGCCCAAAACCGAGCTGCATACTTCATAATTCCCAATTCTCAATTTGCTCACCATGCATAAATCTTAAATTTTCAAATTCAGGAATGTGCCATAATACGTATTTCTTATGAAAATTACGGCAATTATTTTACTTTTTTCTCTCTCGTAATAATATGACATGATAGGTCAGGCTTCCATCCGAAACTCCCACCAAAGAGCTTGCTAAATGAACTCTCCTACATAGCTATACAGCCTATACTACCCCAGGACCCAGGACCCCAAGTGTGGCTTCCAAAGGCCATATACGGCAGATCTTCGCGGTTAAACAACGAGACACAATTCTTATTTAATCGCAATAACCAGCCCCAATCTGAACCCACAACACGATGGAAAGTTATAGTTCCAGTACTTGTACCACCCCAATGCCTGCCAGAGCACATAGACATCAAAGCCGTCCAGTGTTTTGGCATGGTAGCACCCCGATCACTGTTGGAATTGAGGTGGCTGCTAAGACGCACCACTACGGTTGATGAATTTTGTTTTTCGCATACATAAGTTGAATTCATATGTATGCCACAACCATGGACCGCTTGTATTACTATTTTAAAATATTTCATATCTCCGCGCTAATAAGACTCCGCGTGATGGTACTACTACCGAATTCTCGACTTCTCGAGTCCGCTCATTTTATGCAATGAATTTAAACAAAAAAAACTGTATCAACTATTGTAAATATATTATAGGGTATATCAGCTTCTGCACTCATTTGCAGTGTACAACTGTATGAATTTATGTAAATAATAAAAAGTCGTAGCCCTCTAAAATATACAAGTCTGTAAATATTTACTATTTTTATTATTTATAAATACAAGTTCGCAATGTTGCAGGTTGGCCGTTGGCGGTTGTGTATTTTGTGTTGACTGCTGTCCCTTGACTTCAGGATTTTTGTAAATCGTAAATACATGTTTTTTATAAATTAAAAAACAGCTTGAATCTGATTGGGATCGATAAGCAAAACCTCCCGGCTCGCAGATTCGGATTCCAATCGCAGATTGACACTGAAGTCTTGAACGAGCGCCGTAATACCGTATCGGCATATCACGTAATAATATACTATGTATAGTTCAATAAACTCCAGATTCATCCTCAGTGGGGATCAAATGGCTCCCTCACAACATACTACAGTGTATACCGATATTTTCCAACCTTTTACTACTAGCAGAGTGCATTCGTGTTCAAAAATACATAAAGAAAGTCCACCCAGGAAGATTAAATCATATTCGATGGATTGATAGCAAACATTGAATATTGCGAAGATGGTCATTATAACCTGTGCGAAGCTCCTGGCGGATCGCTCGTAGTGCATTACTTCGAATCAGGCGATTTTGTGTCACACTTGTTGCAACACGATCTATTTAGGTATTAGGTTACAAAGTGGTCATAAATACGTAAATCAGAAAACTAATCATTTCAAATGCAGATTTGACGAAGCTGTTAAACTATTAAACTAGTCAAGAAAGGTTTTACTCATGCCTTCAAATCTCCTTCTCTTTACAGCATCTGCTTTTAGTACCATACAAGCATGTAACGAGACCGAAACAGAGATTTTAAATGACAACGGGGAGATCATACACTGTATGCCGAAGGACCCTGCATTCACCAAATTTCATACCGAGAATGGAAATGGAATGTTTGTTCAGTCACTCCCCGATTACTCATATTCTGGTTTCTGCACCGGCGAAGATGGCTATGCACAACAGAGTCCTCCATGAGTATTAGCTAATGCAACAATTCTGCAAGTGCTCCCAACAGAGTGCGGGCAGGTGTGTTTTATCGAACCCAAAATATCTGAAGCTCAATTTCTACTATTAGTTGCGTGTGTATTATAATCAAACCACAGAATACGCAGGATTTGAAGCATTGAATACAACTTATATTTATTAACTTGATACGTTAGTGAGAGGACTGCGGCCCTGCTATTAATCAACTGCTAGATGAAGCTGCGAGCTTAGTGGATGAAGAGAGTATCAGACTTGGGTTTATAAATATTTACGGATAAAGCCATTAAAAAACCCCTTTGTGAGGACACCCCATCCGTAGGTGGTAGTACAGCTACCCGCCGGGGTCGTGGAGCTGCACAGTTACAATTACCTCGACCCCTACTCCAAGTCAGAGATCAAGGCCTCGATTCGCATTCGTAGTAGTTACACAATCCTCCGCGGCGACCCAGCTAGCGGGACAAGTAAGTTTATTCTCAATAACATCTTGTATGGCAATCCCAAAAGCTCAGTGGTATTATGTTGTTTGCGACACACATAGATACAGGACATTTGTATTTTTCAATCCTCAAAAAGGATGGTAATCAAACGTTGAATTGATTCCAAAATTGCTATGTAACAGTAATAAGATTAACAGGCAACGTCGATATTCGTGGCGGCATGGACAACAAAGAGTAGGACAACTTTTTCTACATTCAAGTGCAGACTAAAGGGCCTATACATGATGGAGTAGGTGTGGACTGGAAAACGAGCTGCCCTGTTTTGCAAACGGGAACACTGAAAAAAGGTCAAAGATGTGTGAATCATAACTCGGTAAGACATTTGAATATGCAGGCATGCAGTGGTTGATAATAGTTTTAATGGAATTGAAGTCCTGAATCATTGCCAAACTAGAAACTACTTCACAGTCCACGCTATCGCTCACAGCCATTGCGATGTGGAGTATATTGAACAATATTATGATTGTGATTTTATATCCCATAATCTATCAGTATTGCGAAAATACGAGTAAGTTCGTTGCGGGCGACTATGTGATGTTGCGATTCTATGTGAAATCGGGCGATGCGGGTCATGGACCTGCCAAGGCTGAATTATACTCGGGCGCCAATTTCCCGTTCGTATGGACAAACGTGAACAAAGAGATCAGAATTCAAGAGCTACATCGTATAGAGGTGAGTTTCAACTTAAAGAAAGCTAATATAAGTAGCTAAGCGCTTTGCATCACTATTCCTAATATACTGACTGGTTGAACTGACCACATTAGTGTTGTAAATTTATCTTCGTAGTAAACATTAACTTTCAGCTGTAATAGTATAACTTTTGATTCACGGAGCATCTACAACTCTTTTTTTCCATGCAGATGGATGCCCTACACAAATATAGGCATAGAAAATCTCGTGATAACATCAGACTGGGAAACCAAGCATGCTGATTTTGTCCATCACGAGAAGGGAGTTATCGGCGATGTAGAGCTTATGGACTATGGCTGGCTGGCAATTTATTTGCAGGTATTGTATTTGATTCATAAGTTTATTGTATTTGATTTGTTTGCAGGTATTGTATTTAATTCATGTTTATTGTATTGATTTATTTGCAGGTATTGTATTTGATTCATAAGTTCATTGTATTTGATTTATTTGCAGGTTGTATTGTATTGGATTCATATTCAATTTTTTCTTTTGTACTGTCGTCCTGTAGACCTGTGCAGAACATCTGTGATATGCCCTGCCATGATCTGCCATTGCCTCACCAATTTTAATCATGTGGCTCTACCCCACGCACGCCCAGGATACCAAATGCTCTTGGGTGTCGAATTTGGAGTTCAACGGGATCTCGGTAGGAATGAAGCTTGATTATACAAAGAACAATCTGGTCAACAATGCTAAGTTCATGTAAGCCGCCGGGTATACTGGTATCACATCACGGTGAGGCACTGGCAATGTAAGACACAACGACATGGTTATTTTAGTAGCTACTAAATATTTATTGAGCGTGCACTAGAAAGTATACTCAATATATTCAATTGCATTTATTTGGGTTGGCCGTGCACGCCCCGTGAATCGATATCATACCATAACGCATACGCACACATCTCTTCACTACAGCTGTTCCGAGATAATGTGGATTCGACAGTCTCTACGCACGGCTGTACGGCCGCAGAGCCGTCTAACAAAGGGGACTGCAATACCTACGGAGGAATGTTCCATACGTTTGGAGTGGCCTACTACGATTCCGCGTCTGTTTTTCTGCGCTCCATCACGCCTAATGCTAGCCACATTGATGCTCCCGGGGGAGAGGTATGCCCCTAATCCATATTCGCACAACCTCTTAAGTATACGTGTCTATTAGGTATTGGTATGTTCCAGTGCATAGTTCAGATGAAACAGCTAGCGTATATACAGACTATTCCAGCCACGAGCAACCTTATTTGATTCCTACGTGGGCGGACATCTGTCGCAATTCGGAGGGGGCGACTCAGCCATGCCGCGTGGTTATCTGGAATATGAAGTACTCGGGAGACGTCCCCTACAGCACTACTCGCTGGAGCAACTACACGTATGTCGTACGTTTACAT